TGGCCGGGGGTGGTCGGGTGGTTCATAAAGTGGTAGCTGGCGTCGGGCTTGTAAATGGGCGTGATCATGAGAAAGGTGCTGCTGGTGCCGAGGGAGACAATGGCGTCCATGGGCCGCAGCGGCAGGGCGAGGATGGTGGCTGGGTTGTCGCCGGTGAAGGGCGTGATGTGGCAGTCGGGGGCGAAGCCGTGGCGGCGCTGGAAGTAGGGGGCGATGGTGCCGAGAGAGGCGCCGCCGTCGTGCTCAGGTTCGCCGAGCTTCGCGCGCAGGGCGGCGGCCTTGTCCCCAGCACCGCCGGCAGCGAGGGAGATGAGCTCGTCGGACCAGGCAGCCGAGGGAATGTCCCAGAGGTTCATGCCCGTAATGTCGCTGATGTCCAAGGGGGCGATGCGGCCCAGGAGCAGGGAGGCGAGGAAGGAGGAGATGAGCGATATGCGGGCGGTGGCGGCGTACATGGCGGGCAGCTTCTCGCGGAGGCGCATGATCTGGGTGCCGGTGAAGCGGTGGTGGGCGGCGCTGCCGGTGACGTGGGCCAGACGCTGGGCGTCGCCGAGGTGCTCGTCGAAGCGGTCGCACTGGGCCTGGGTGCTGCCATCCTGCCAGTTGGGAGCGTAGGGGTGGGAGAAGGCATCGGTGAGCTGGTCGACGAGGGCCTTGGCGGGGTCGAGGTTGGCGAGCAGGGACTCGGCCTCGGCGGACCAGTACGTGCTGCCGTGCTGCTGGCAGGAACCGGAGATGCCCTTGATGCGGGCCACGCTGTCGGGGCTCGTCTCGCGCAGGCGGTCGAGAGCAAGGTCGAGGGCCTCGAGGAAGAGGGCTACGGGGGCAAAGACTTCATGTTCGGCGTCGTTGGTGAGGACGCCTTTTGTGATGTTGTACTTGGAGCCAAAGTCAGCGTCAAAATCGACCTTGACCTCGGCGACGACGGTGAGGTCGGACTGGACAACGATGGCTGGCTGGTCAGCGTAGGGTCCGGTAAGATTGTGGTAAGGTCGAGGGGTGTGATGGGATGGAGAGGAGGACGTTTTGGAGGGCAGCAGGGCAGGCGAGGCAGGCGAGGCAGGCGAGGGGATGAGGGGCAGGAAGTACCTTTGAGCTGCTGAGTCGACAGGTCGAACCCAAGATACAAGGGGCCCTCAGCAGACATGACGGGCGAGGAGGATGCAGAGTCGGAAGAAACAAGAAAGGAAAAAAAAAAAAAAAAGGTCAAATGGGAGAAACAGGCAGAAAAGACCAGGCTCTTGGTCCTTTAAACACCAGACCCCTCATGTGCGACCGTTATTTTTTTCCGGGTCAGCCCATCATCGTGACGCGGGGATGGCGGCAGTACCTCTCTGCGTAGGTACTGTGTACGTGTACGTGTCTGGGTCCAGGCTGCTCAACGCAACAGCCTCCGAGCTCAGAGTGACATGCACATGTTCGAGGGGCAGAAACGGGGACCCTCAGCCTTGGCCGCCCGAGCAGGGTGGGACCCCTCATTGTGCTTTGCTGGCCCGCTTGCCGCAACATGTGGCTGCAAAGCGCCTCGACGCGATTTAGGCTAAATGCAGGCCTCCCTTGGTGCCAAAAGTGCCTTGTACAAGTGCCTTGTACTAAAAGCGCTGGGTGCTGAAAGCGCTGGGTGCTAAGAGTGTTGGTGCTAAGAGTGTTGGTGCTAAGAGTGCTGGTGCTAAAAGTGCTGGTGCTAAAAGTGCTGGTGCTAAAAGTGCTGGTGCTAAAAGTGCTGGGTGCTACTACGTGTATCCTTTGGGCTAGCCTTTGGTCGAGCTTCCCAGCGAGTCGGGTCCCCAGCGAGTCGAGTCCCCAGCGAGTCGGGTCCCCAGCGCCTGTGCTGCCGTGGGCTCATGCGCGCCAATCGTCATCTTGGCTGGTGCCATCCCTCGGAGTGTCGCCTTTCGAGCTCTTGGCTCTTGGCACTGGGGGGTCCAGGCTGCCAGGTCCCGATCGTGTCTTTTTTGTCCGAGCATCCCCGGGCGTGGACGCCATGTGGAGAGCCCGACCGAGATGGGAAGGTCGAGGTGGCCTCCGACGTCGGCGTCGACAGGCATTGCATCATCATCATAAAAGCATCGCAACGGCCCAGTATCAGATCAGGCTGGGATGAGAAGAAGATGGTAATTGATGCCGGCAGAGCTGCCTTGTGTGTCTCCCGTCAACAAGCGTGGGCCAAGTGTAGCCTCAGCCCGATCAGAAACCCCAAAACGCCATTCCCACGCAGGACGCACCTGCACCAGCCAGCCAGCCCTGTCCCAGCCGTGGCCGGCTTTTTCTGGACTACTCGGGAATTCAAATGCCCAAGTTGGAAAGCCATGTCTCCAGACCAGAATTGGATCACCTATCTGCGGCTGACAAAAAGACGAAAAAAAAAACAAAAACGGCATATCCAGCCCTTACTGGTGCTTCTCATGTGCATGACCATTGCCATTGCCATTGCCATTCGCGTGGCTGTGGCCATTGCCGTTGGCGTGTTCGTTGCCGTTGCCATTCGCGTGCCCATGGTCATGGTCATGGTCGTGCTCGTCCTCGTCCTCCGACTCGGGCGACGCCCGCTGGCTGACCTCGCCCGAGATATACTCGTCAAACTTGCCAGCAACGGGCGCCTCCTTGGGCACGTAGCGGACGCGCACACGGCGCACACCGCGCACCTTGGCGCCGACCCTCTCGCGCACGGCAGCCTCGACCTCGCGCGCCTCGTCGACGGTCCAGTCGCCGGGAACAGCAAGCTCGACGTCGACGAGGTAGTTCTGGCCGCTCTTGACGCCGGCGACGTCGCGGACCTCGACGTCGCGGCCGACGCCGCGGGCGTCGAGGCTCGCGCGGGCGTGGCGCGTGACCGAGGCGCGGACTTCGTCGTCGATGCTGCGGTCGGCGAGCTCGTAGAGGGCGCTGACCGTGTTCTCGGCGCCGGCCTTGACGACGAGGAGCGAGATGAAGAGGCCGCCGACGGGGTCGAGCCAGGCGGCGTTGGAGAGGATGTTGGCGCCGAGGACGACGGCGAGGGTGACGACGCCCGTGAGCGAGTCGACGCGGTGGTGCACGGCGTTGGAGGCGAGGACGGACGATTTGCGTTCGCGCGCGACTTTCATGGCTGCTGCTGTCAGTTTCTCTTTTCCTGTCTCTGTCTCTTTCGTCTGCGTCTCTCTCTCTCTCTCTCTCTCTCTCTCTCTCTCCAGCACAAACTTACTTGCGTGGTAGAGCCACTCCTTGATGGCCACGGTGCCGGCGGCCAGCCACGCGGCGTGCAGACTGGGCCCGGCATGGCCGTGGCCGTGGCCGTGGCCGCCGTGGCTGTGGCCGTGGTGCATGTGGGCAATGGCGTCGGCGGCGGCGGCAGGGTCGAGGAAGAAGTGGGCGTGCAGGGTCAGCAGGCTGCTCCAGAACATGAAGAGGCCGCCGCCGAGGAGCATGCTCGAGACGCCGAGGGAGCCCAGGCTCTCGACCTTGCCAAAGCCGGCGGGGAAGGCGTCGGTCGGCGGCTTCAGGGACCACGAGACGGTGGCGAGGGTCAGGACGTCGGAGGCGAGGTCGGTCAGCGAGTGCCAGGCGTCGGCGATGAGGGCCTGGGAGCCAAAGGCGTAGCCGCCGGCGCCCTTGGCGAAGGCCATGCCGAGGTTGGAGAAGAGGCCGATGCGCGTGATGCGGACGCCGGCGTCGTTCTTGTTGGAGGAGGTCAGGTACGTGTTGTCATGGTGGTGGTGGTGGTGGCCGTGGCCGTGCGAGTGCCCGCCGTGGGAGCGCTTCTGGTCGGCGCCCATTGTGCGGGTGATGCTCGCGGACGCTGTCGAGGGGTCGGGGAAGAGTGGTCGCGTGACTGTCGGCGCGGGCGGTCGTGTTCGGCGTGACGTGGACAGGAGTGGTGGTGGTGGTAGTGTTGTGGTTCGCGTCGGCAGGGTGCTGTGGCAGCGAAAAGCGCGTCGGGAGCTAGGTCGATGTTTTGGGTCAAGGGGGTTGTTGGTGGTGGTCGTGGTTGTGGCGGTGGCGGTCGTCGTGATGGAAGAGACGGGCGGCCGCAAGGGATGGGGCGCAGTGATGTAGCAAGGGGCAAGGGAAGACGAAGGAGTGAAGGAAAGGGAGCGACGACGGGAGGAAAAGGAGCGAGATGTGGTAGTAATAGTATTGGACAAGACAGAGACAGCCAGTGGTTGAGGTTGATGTGGCCTCTGTCTCACGGAAGGAGACGAACAGAGTTGAACGAGGCGACGGAAGACGGGCCTCCAGACGGACGGATACGTGCCGGTGGCTGCTGCGGACGTCACGCCCACGGCGACCGTTGGGGAGCCTCGTACAGCGGGCGCAGGCGGGGGTACGCAGGCGCCCCAGCGCTGGACGCTGCGCACGCGTAGGCCACCGCCAGCCAGGCGAAGGCCGCCAGCCAGGCAGAGGCGGGCCTGGGCAGACATGACAAGCAGGCAAGGTACTCGCTCCCTGCCAGGTAAGGTACCTAAGGCAGGTAACCCAGACACTTCGAATAGGTACGTACAGTGGTACCTCAGCAAAGTGAGAGAGGACGAGCGTGAGGGGAAAGGGAAAAGGGGACGAGGGGGGGGAGTTCGGGACGACGGTGCCGCGCGTTACATGAATGCTTGTATGCCCGTACCAGAGAGAGCGAAGGCCGCACAGAGGGAGGGAAGAAAAAAACACGATGCCAGCTCTGTGGTGTGTATTCTCCAGAAAAGAGACGCGACGCCATTGACTTGATGTCACGCATCTGGGTCCTCATCCGACTCCGGCATGATTCGATTGCGCACCACCAGTACTGTACATGTACCTGTTCGTACCATAAATCAGTACATGTACATCAGTACAGCACCCAGCACCAGCGCCCCTCAGGCGGCCCCCTCATGCCCCTGTCCCCTCATCAGCCCATTCTTGGCACACGCCCCGCCCTCTGCCCTGCCATCGACCAGGAGAAAAAGGTACTTTTCAGTCTGCTGCGAGCCGCAAGAGTACGAGCCACACAACCCCACATGCTGCGTCAGCTTCCCTTTTCTTGATCCTACATGTACAACGAGTCTATGGCCTACAACTCCATGGGCCATGCACCAAAGCAACGGAGGCCGCAGGCCGCGACGACGGGACAAATCTTCAGCCTGTCTCTTTCCACCCCTGACTCAAACAAGATTCGCGGCCCGTCACAGACGCCTGCCCACCCCACATTGACTTCAGAGGTCAGCAGCAAGGCCACCATCTTTGCCATCGCTGCTGGGCTTCGTTCTGGCAACGGGATGTGGGCGGTGGGGGCGATCCGATCTGGCAGGCAAAGCGCCACAGCCTCCTGCGATGGGGTTGCTGCGCTCTAGCTGCCCAGCAGATTCATCCCGCATTGCTGTTTTTGCATAGTTAGCCCGATGGCAAGGCCGTTGAAGACGGTTGATACAGTAGTTGGCGGTGCTGACAGCTGCAGGCCGGACATGTTGTCTCGAGCCCCTTTACTTCTGCCTTGACGCACATGTCACTTACATTAGCTTTGCCGCCACTACCTATTACCTTGGCTTCGACTCCAGTGGTACTGGAGCGTATTCGAGGTACTGGGCCTTTCACTTCGTTGGATAGGGTGTTCAAGCTTTGAGGGTGGGATACGGCGGGGATGAGGTTTCCATGGCAGTATTGTTCCTGGGCATGGAGGTCTTAGGCATGGAGGTCCTAGGCATGGAGGTCCTAGGCATGGAGGTCTTAGGCATGGAGGTCCTAGGCATGGAGGTCTTAGGCATGGAGTTTGGAGTAAAGCGTTGAGAGGAGGTCAAATAGTACCGACTCGCAAAAGATCTGCTATCCAACTGACAATCCGATTTGGACATACAAGTCTGTTGTACTCAAGCATGAGGACCAAAAGCCATGGCAAGATGCCTGACTTGGAGTAAATCATTCTAGGTTACCTCTAGAGGAAGGTCATGTGAAGAGGAGTCCGTCAGGCGCATGTCCCTGCAGAGCTTAATGCAATGAATTACCTGCACATTTGAATCCGAATACATCATATTGATGGAAATGAGAAGTCCATACCATGATTGCACCTCGCACACAATTCTTAACATGAGCAAGATATGACAGATGAAGTTGCCTCTATGTCAAGCGTCAAGCCTCTAAGCCAAGCTGGGTAGAGGCGATGGTAGCCCCACCTGGCCAGCCACAGCGCCACAGACCCAGTGTCGCTCGAAAAGCACCGATCCATGACGATACGCTACATGCACCAGCCGAGCTTCACGTTCAACACTGCCAAAAAGAAGTACGAGCCCGCACGCAAGAACGCGCGTTCAAGTTGACGAGTGCACGGTGAACAAATTGGTCTTGTAGCAGCACAGCCGTCCGACTCGACAGCAGGCACGACTCCGACACGCGCCGACACGAGCCCAAAGGCATGACGTCCCCCATGGGCAAGCCTCTCATGCGCATCCCCTACACCGAGCTCTTTGCGCCGCCGACCCTGATCCCCCGCAACGCAAACACCCTCCCCGGCGCCGTCGCCGCCCTCGCGCGCTTCCTGACGGCGCCGGTCGCCGACGGCCGGTCGCCGACGACCGTCATCCTGTCGGGCGCCGGCCTCTCCGTGTCGAGCGCCTCGCCGACTACCGCGGCGCAAGGGCACGTACCGCGTCAATAAAACGTACAGGCCCATCTACTACCACGAGTTCCTCGCGAGCCACGAGGCCCGCAGGGCTACTGGGCCCGCAGCTTCCTCGGCTGGCCCTCGCTGCAGCGCGCCCGCCCCAACG